TACCAGTTCGTCTCGAGGCCCTATAACCACAACATTTGCCAGGCCAAAGAGGAAACCCACACGGAGCAAAGCTAATACCAGTCACAGATCAATGTTTAACTTGTGCTTATTTTTCCACCAATTTTATCTTCCTTTTCCGTCCATCCCACTATTCCCATGTGTCTGCTACAACTGTGAGTTAATATTAATGTTGTCTTTATGCTAACTGTGGTGCTACTGGCTGAGAAGGGTCCCTGAGAGGATCCATAACACACATAGTATCGATGCCAGTACACTAATCCGAGCATAAGGGCTCTATCCAACCCTAAGGGATCTTGAACCCCAAACTATGCTTCTAAGACCACAACTGTAAAAGATGAGAGCCTCGCTCCCTGGGGGGCAAAAGCACGCATGTTAGTAACTTCCAACTTGTTTTTTTATTCAAATTTTTATTTTTTTTCCTTCTTTGATGAATATGGCTAGCCCTTCTCTGTTCTACATAACACCAAAATGCATAATGGGTCTGGACTACAATAGACAGCCCCCGTGGGGACCCACAGGAAAATACTACATCACCTACTTTAACGTATATGAGATATCCTGGGGACATTGAGCAGAGACTACATAGAGGGTGTCAATGGGTTTCCCCCGGGTGCTAATGACAATTTCCATCTATCCTTGGTTTACTTTTGTGCACATGATTATTCAAACTTGCATACTTTTATCACATTATTTTTCTATCATTGTTATGTTTAACAACTTGCATCATGCTTAAGGGTGTTAAATAAATGCACCAAAACAGAGTCAGTATTTAGTTATGTGTGTATGTATATTGTGATCCTTGTCTGCAGGTAGCACGGTCCTCTTGGGCACAAACATGCACAGTCTTTTAAGGCAACTTATTTCCAGGCATTTTATTGGTAAACTCCACCACAGATACAGCAGCAAATGAAAAAAAAACAGTAACACAAATCCCTATAAACAAAAACCTAGCTCAGTCTGAGCACTTACTAACATCAAGTTCCCTATCTCTCAAGGGTGTAAACTATAACAGAACAATAAATGGTTTCACCAACCTAGTGCCATTGTCAGATCTCTGCACTCCACACTCAGTTAGCATGTGGCTTCCATTCCTTCTAGAAAGAAACAAAATTATCTCTCCTTTCTGAACTCCAGTGCTCTCAGCTAGCCTGCTGCTTTCCTTTCTGCACTCGCAGTGCTCCGAGCCAGCCTTAACTGCTTTCCTTCTGCACACCCAGTGCTCCAAGCCAGCCTTAAAGGACCACTATAGTGCCAGGAAAACATACTCGTTTTTCTGGCACTATAGTGCCCTGAGGGTGCCCCCACCCGCTGGGCTGGATGGAGAGGAAGGGGTTAAACTTACCTCTTTCTCCAGCGCCGGGCGGGGAGCTCTCCTCCTCTTCGGCTGAATGCGCATGCGCGGCAGGAGCTGCGCGCGCATTCAGCCAGTCCATAGGAAAGCATTCACAATGCTTTCCTATGGATGCTGGCATCTTCTCACTGTGATTTTCACAGTGAGAAGCACGCAAGCGCCTCTAGCGGCTGTCAAGAGACAGCCACTGGAGGCTGGATTAACCCTAACATAAACATAGCAGTTTCTCTGAAACTGCTATGTTTATAAAAAATAAAAAAAAGGGTTAACCCTAGCTGGACCTGGCACTCAGACCACTTCATTAAGCTGAAATGGTCTGGGTGCTTATAGTGGTCCTTTAACTGCTTCCTTTCTGCACTCCCAGTGCTCAGTCTCCTTGACTCTCTCACAGGAGAGAACAGCGTCTCTCCTACCTGCTTCCAGGGAGGAAGCCAGCAATCCCCCCCTTGCCTAGCAGGGAGGGGTTTATTCCCACTGCTGCAACTGATTATCTGCAGCTGAGCAGTGGGTTGGAGACAGATCAAAACTCTAGCCTGGAACTTATTTCTCCCAGTTGTATGCAAACTGCGGAGTGGAGCATTGTCCCACCCTGCTCTCCAAATGCTCCATCCCAGGGACCCATAACTAAACTTTGGTTTGTGTTGCCTACAACACACACTACACATACTCCCCCTGGAGTTAAATGTTATAGGCCTATATGCCTTTACTTTATCACAATATATATATATATATATATATATATATATGTAAGAAAAGAATATATATATACACATACACACATAACTAAATATATATATTGTTTGTACATTGTATTTTTGAAACATTGTACTCAGAAATTTCAATGTAGCCATCCTGGTAAAATGTTTTATAAATAAATAATTTTCATAGACTATGTACTTAGATATGAAAGACTTTGTATGTACTATACCTTTAAATTGTCTAAAATTATTAAGCTATTATATAATACATTGCACAGTAATTCTATATTTACAATTAATTTTTTTAGCTTAGACATTTTTTAATTTTATATATAACATAGATATGAAAACTGTGCTTATTTTTACTTAAAAGTTAAATCTTGATTTTGCTGTCATGAATTCCCGTCATAAATTTCCCTACATATAATGTTGTATAATTAGTTATTATTTGCATTTATTTAGCACCAACATATTCTGCAACACTTGACAATTATAAAATGGGAATATTTGACAACAAGTAACCAACATGGAATATAACAAACAAGAGGTGAAGAACACCCTGCTTAAACGAGTTAACAATCTATGAGGAAGGGGTAAACACGCGAGAAATAACAGCATGACAGTGGTAGAGATTGCTGGATAAGAAGCCTGTTTTTAAACAAGATAGTAAGTGGTGTGTGGTAGAACCGAACAGCAGAGCGTTCGAGCTGGGCTATGAAGGCAAGGGAAGCGATAAGGCTAGTGAAATGAGAGAAACGTCACACAGGAAGATTGTGAACTTTCCTAAAGATGCGTGTTTTCAGTACTTTCTTAAAGGACTAGAAGCTAGGGGAGAGTCTGATGACATGAGTTAAGGAATTCCAAAGGAAGGGGACAGCCCTTGAAATATTCTGCAGAGAGAGTTGGCAGAACGGGAACAAGTAGATGTCAGGAGAAGGTAATTTGCAGAGCAAAGGTAACGAAAAGGGGGTATATTTTATGAGTAATGAGGAGCTGTGTAGTGACCAGTATAATGCAAACACATTAATGGCTGGATTGTGCAGTTACCACGGGTAGTAGGTAGGGCACAGATCCAGAATCACAAGACTAATATACTGACACCAGGAAGCAAGGTCAGAAGCAAAATAAATGAACATGCAGGGTCAGAATCACTGGTAAGAGATCCTACATAGCCAGAGCCAATTTCCTGCAGCACTGGTGAAAACTGTTGTGATTTACCGTATATACTCGAGTATAAGCCGACCCGAATATAAGCCAAGGCCCGTAATTTTACCACAAAAAACTGGGAAAACTTATTGACTCGAGTATAAGCCTAGGGTGGGAAATGCAGCAGCTACTGGTAAATTTCTAAATTAAATTAGACCCCAATAAAATTACATTAATTGAATATTTATTTACATTGTGTGTATAGAATGAATGCAGAGTGTGTGTTTGTGTGTGTATATATAATGAATGCAGTGTGTTTGTGTGTTGTGTGTGTATATAATGCAGTGTGTATATAATGCAGTGTGTGTGTTTGTGCAGTGTGTGTAAACTGGATGAGGGGAGGGCATTTTTTTAAATATTATTTTAATATTATATTATTTTAATAATATTATTATTATTTTAATATTTGCATTATTTTTTTTTTAAATGTTTTTTTGTCCCCCCTCCCTGCTTGTTGCCTGGTCAGGGAGGTGGGACAAAAAACTATTAAAAAAAAAATAATGCAAATATTAAAATAATAATAATATAATAATAAAATAATATTATATTAAAATTGTAATATTATTTTATAATTATATTATTATAATTTTAATATTTGCATTATTTTTTTAAAATGTTTTTTGTCCCCCCTCCTTGGCTAGGCAACAAGCAGGGAGGGGGGACAAAAAAACATTTAAAAAAAAATGCAAATATTAAAATAATAATATAATAATATTATTTTAATAATATTATTTTATTATTATTAAAATAAAATAATATTAAATCCCTGGTGGTCCAGTGCCATTGGCAGTTCAGTGGGGGGGCTGGCAGTGAGCTCTTACTTACCTTCCTGCAGCTCCCTCCTCCTCCGCGCAGCTCCCCGGTCAGCTCCGTTCTGTTTACAGTGTCTCGCGAGACCCGCGGATCTCGCGAGACTTACACTGTAAACAGAATGGAGCTGACCGGGGAGCCGCACGGAGGAGAAGGGAGCTGACAGGAGCTGCAGGAAGGTAAGTAAGAGCTCGCTGTCAGCCCCCAACAGGACCGCTGGTCCTTGTCTGTATTATGGCAATCTAAGTTGCCATAATAAAGACTGACTCGAGTATAAGCCGAGTGGGGGTTTTTCAGCACAAAAAATGTGCTGGAAAACTAGGCTTATACTCGAGTATATACGGTACTCAGTAGCTTCACCCAGAGTCTAAAAAATCAGTCATATGAGATGACCTATACAAAGGCAAAGTAGGCCCTACTTTTTCTCTGTATATTTCTCCACAGGATTGGAATTTCAATGAAATTCCAACAGTCAAAATGAGTATTTCATAAAGATTCTATTTTCATGAAATACTCATTTTTCAGGAGGGTCACAGAGCAATTAAACAAACTAAATTGCTTTAGGTATTTTTCTAAACCCACAAGAAATGTGTTTGGAAATCAGCCTGTATATACTATATATTGTTTTTATTCTAAATTGCACTAGTTGCATAAATTTTTTACGTATTTTTTAATTTTCCCACCCCCTGTCCATTTTAAAACGTTGGTTGTTTTGCTTTTCCTAAGAGTAGAACCCCTTTTTGGCTTTAATAAACCTATCTGCTTACATGGCTACTGTTGGAATATCAACACTACAACCAAAAGCCATCTAAATCCCTTCTAACTGCTGCGGCATTGCGGTAATGGGGAGCCGTAAGGCGGCATAGAATGAGAACGTAACTATGTAAGAACCCGCACGCCTCACTCCCTGCTCACTGCTAAATGCAATACGTCGCCTTCCCACTGCGCATGCGCACTGTGCATTCGGCCGGCCGCTGGCACATGCGCATTTTCCGAACTGACCGCCGCATGCGCACTCTACATGTTTGGATCCCACATCAGGAAGGGGCATGGCAGACAGTGTGCGTTATGAGGACACCTGCAATTCCTGACATGGTGGCTGAGCTACTCTGAGTAATCCAGGTGTGTGCAGGTCCGTCTGGCACTGTATAGTGTCACAGTGTATTAGAGAGCCAGCTAGGATATTAGAAATATTAGTGTTTGCAATGTATAAGGTTCTACTTTGAATACTAGTTGTAGCCTCATTTATGCTCACAGGTGTAGATTCATATCAATTTAGAAGAGGTGGTTAATAGTTGTGTGCAAGCTCTCACTTTCTGCAATTTCAAGGAATCTTAAGATTCTACAATTAAAAAAAAAAGTATTGAGGGCAGTTCATTGTTTTTATTCTCCAGGTGAAGAAATGTTCAGTTTATTTTGTAGCAAACAAATCACATTTATGAAATATATGGAATTGTTAAGTTTACTTGAATGAATGTCAACTCATGTTGTCAGAGATTTTGACATTTTTAATCCGTCACAAATGTTTGCAGTAACCCGCTGAAGAAGCTACCATAGGAATTAAGAGATGTCACTTTATTTTGTGACGCACAACCAATACCACATATTATTTTAGCTATTTTGTTTTTGTTTAAATCCATCATAACATTACAAATAGACAAGGAGGGATGCTCTAAAGGGAAACTATAAGCACCTAGACACCCATCCCCCTTGATTGTGGCTGTCACTCAGTCACCAGAGGCGCTTCAGATAGAATAGCAGTGTAAAACTCTGCTACTTCTATCAGATGGTCTCAGAGACCATGCGCGCTAGCCTCCCAGTGATTTTCTATGGGACAGCATTGGATTGACCGAGAACTCAGCCAAGTAGATTGGTGATATAAGGAGGATAAAGGTATCCTGGCACGGCATGGCACTATAGCGTTTGGAATGCAAACTTGTATTTCAATGCTATAGTGTCACGGTCACCCCATATCAAAAATTAGTATTTCATAAAGATGAAATCAAAAGTCAAAGATATACTGAGAGAAAGTAGGGACTACTTTTTTCTTGGTATTTTTCCTTCATTTGACAAAGCTTGACACAAGATGGAGTTACTGCCATCAAGCTGATCATTTCCTATTTGTCATTTGATTTCTCACCACATGTATTGAAGAAAAGAAGTCCACTATGCATTTAGGCTCTAAGCAGTGACAGCTGGGAGGTATGTAAATATACATTAGTTAGAACTGTGTGAACAACCCAGGCTCCAACTCACTTTATACAGTCCTTTGTGCTTGCTGAATGCCAGATAACTAGTAATACAGTACTATTGTTCTTGTAAAATCTACAAATACTGTTTTCCTATTCCACTATTATAAAAATGTGAAGTGGGATCAGTAGAATGAGTGCACATCAAAAACAAATACAATACAATACTCTGCCTTTTATTTTCATTGCTTTCTTAAAACAGTTGTCATTGTTAGTGCATTCCCTTATGATGCTCTTTTTCCTTTCTTTCTTTTCTTTTTTCCTTTTTTTCCCTCCATTATCTAGTCCAGTGTTTCCCAACCCAGTCCTCAAGGCACACCTACCAGTCCAGGATTTAGGGATTACCCAGTTGTGTCTAAGGTGTTTTTACTAAGAAGAAAAAAAACACCTTTGACACAACTGGGTAATCCCTAAATCCTGGACTGGTAGGTGTGCCTTGAGGACTGGGTTGGGAAACACTGATCTAGTCTGTAATGCAAAAATCGATTTTTAAAAGCTTCTTTGTGCTAAATTTGCAGAGTTATTTACTAAAGTGATAATTCAAAATTAATTTCAAATGAAAGGCCAGAGTAGCTATACTCAATCTCATACGGTAATTATATTGTATTTAAAGATGCAATTCAGCACTAAAACAGTTTGATGTATGTTATAACATTTCAGCTCAATAGAATGCATTTTTATTTATTTTTCATTCTCGAAAGTGCATAGTTTTGCAAAATATCTAAGGAATATTTTGAAAATCTCTGCACCATAATAAGTTTGCAACCTCTGCCCTATTCTAAAATATTTTTTCCTTAACAGCATATTTATATAGCTTGGCCACTTGCAGCACTGGTTAGTTAGCTGAACGCAGTCAGAACAAGTAAGTATATGGCTGTCATTGTTTGCCTCTCTACACCGGTCTACTAAATGGCACTTTAATAGCCTGGAGTTATGAGTGCACTGGGCTGTGGACACACCGTTTAACCCCTTAAGGACATGTCATAATTCCCTTTTATTCCAGAAGTTTGGTCCTTAAGGGGTTAAAGTCCTGAGAGAAATATAATTGGCATAGTGGTTTGCAGTCTGTACAGGTCACAAGTGAATCTGCTGGTTTTAAAGAAACACTATAATGTCAGGAATACAAACATGTATTCCTGACACTGCAGTTCTGATATGACTGTTTAGATCCCTGGCCCAGCTCCGATTGTGCTTAAAAGGTGTTTATATTCGCCTTTCCTTCCACGCTCTACCAGTATTGCATTAAGACACTGAACGCCAGTGCAGGACACAGTGCAGCACTGAGATAGGAAGCACTTTTAGTGGCAGTCTGAGTGACTGCCATTGGAGGTGTTACTAGGCAGCAATGTAAACACTGGCTTTTCTCAGGAAAGGCAGTGTTTACATTAAACCCTTAACGCCGTTACAGCGTTCTATGCCATCCCCATTATAATGGGCTTTAAAGCCGTTGCTGGCGGCATAGAATGCCGTAACGGCTTTCACCCCCAGGAGCCTGCAACTACTCACCTCCGCCGTGATCCTCTTCTGGGGGGCTGCCTGACAGCCCAGGCAGCCCTCCCCGGTAAATGAGGCCCCCTATAGCTGGCTGTGGAACTGCCAGCAGGAGGACTGTCTGAGCTGTCAGACAGTCCCCCTGCAGGTGGGTAGTGTAAAAACAAAATATTAAACTTGCTTTAACCCCTTAACCATGCTTTTACCCTTTTTTTACTTACCCGGTCACCGGCGATCCCACGCCGGCGATCGCGGTTGGGGGGACTCCCAGGGAGCCTCCCATGGCACATCCGTCCTCCTGCAGCCCCCCCCCCTCCCCAACCTCACAATCACATGGCAGGGTTAGCTTCCTGCTGTAATGACAGGTAGTCCCCCTGCTGGCTGGAAATAAAATAAATTAAAGTTAAATCAGTGTAATAAAATAAAATAATATATATATATATATATATATATATATCTCAAATTAGACGTAGACTGATACTGATTAAATATATATATATTTATCTAATATAAAAAAAATATGTAAATACATTAAAAAATAAAATAATTAAAAATAAATATTAAATAGATGTATGTTATTTCGTTCTAACTGTATTGTGATATATATATATATATATATATATATATATATATATATATATATATACACCTATATATAAATAAAAATATTTAAAAATTTTTATATATTAATTCTACATATATATTTATGTAATATTTTTACATAATTAGGTATCTTAATTAATTACAAGCAGGAACTGCCTGACAACCCATGCCGAAAGTAAAGGGAATTTAAATTTCTAGCACTATATTTAACCCTATAACTTTCCATGACACCATAAAACCTGTACATGGGGGGTACTGTTCTACTTGGGAGACGTCGCTGAACACAAATATTAGTGTTTGTGACCAAATGGCTACTAAAAAAGACTGGACATACCCCATTTGCAATACATTGGGTTGTCTACTATTGCAAATGGTATGCCATTATGGGTGTAAATTTCATTCCTGGGCTACTATACAGTCTCAAAGGTAACATAACCTATCTGGCGAATTTCAAATGTAACGTGCTATATTTGACCCTGTAACTTCACAAAACGCCATAAAACCTGTACATAGGGGGTACTGTTTTACACGTGAGACTTTGCTGAATACAGATATGTGGATTTTATTGCAGTAAAAGCAAACCGTATTATGTCATGTAGTTAAAATGTCATGTAGAATTAAAAAAATCTTATATTCTCCCATTGTTTTCATAATAAATTATGTTTCACAGCAAAATATTTGATATTAAATGAAAGCCCTGTTTCCCCTGAATAAAATGATATATAATAAGGGTGGGTGCATTTACTATGAAAGAGGTGAATTACGGTTGGACAGACATGTAGCGCAAATGCCAGGTTTTGTTTACATTTTGTTTTGTTCACAACGTGTACATTTGGCTCAGTCCTTAAGGGGTTAAAATTAATTAAATGTATGTATATATCTTATATATATCTTATATATATATATATATATATGTATGTAACATCATACATAGTGTATTTTAATGTTACTATAAGTACATATATTAGTATTAAAATACACTTAGAATGACGTTACATATATATGATTGATATATATATATCAATCATATATATGTAACGTCATTCTAAGTGTATTTTAATACTAATATATGTACTTATAGTAACATTAAAATACACTATGTATGTTATTTTATTCATTATTTTAATTATACGTGTGTGTGTATATATATATATATATATATATATATATATATATATATATATATGTGTGTGTATAATTAAAATAATGAATAAAATAATTAAATAAAAAAAAGTTAAATTATATATATATACATATACACATATGTAATGTCATTCTAACTATTTTGTTATTATATATATATATATATATATATATATATATATATATATATATATATATATATATGTATGTATGTAATAAAATACACTTAGAATGACATTCTATATCTATCTATATATAAAATAAAAAAAGCACATATATATATATATATATATATATTTACATAACTACATAAGTGTACAAGTAGACTTTAAATACATATGTATATATATTAAAATTCTGCGTGTATATTTAAGTAATATTTTAACATAATTATGTGATTTAATTAGTTAAAATTTGATTGACATGCCTGACAACCCAGGCAAAAAGTGCAGAGAATTTGGATTGCAAGCACTATGTTTAACCCTGTAACTTTCCAAGACACCATAAAACTTGTACATGGGGGGGGGTACTGTTTACTCGGGAGACTTTGCTGAACACAAATATTAATCTTTCAAAATGGTAACTTGTATTACAACAATGATATTTTTAGTAAAAGTGAATTTTTTTTGAATTTTTCACACATGAACAGCACTTTTACTGACGATATTGTTGTAATACAAGTTACCATTTTGAAACCCTAATATTTGTGTTCAGCGAAGTCTCCTAAGTAAAACAGTACCCCACATGTACAGGTTTTATGGTGTTTTGGAAAGTTAGAGAGTCAAATATAAGGCTTGCCTTTCATTTTTTTCACATTGAAATTTGCCAGATTGGTTATGTTGCCTTTTGAGACTGTATGGTAGCCCAGGAATAAGAATTACCCCCATGATGGCATACCATTTGCAAAGGTAGACAGCCCAAGGTATTGCAAACGAGGTATGTCCAGTCATTTTTAGTAGCCACTTAGTTACAAACACTGGCCAAATATTAGTGTTTTGCTTTTTTTCACACAAAAACAAATATGAACGCTAGCTTTGGCCAGTGTCTGTGACTAAATGGCTACTACAAAAGACTGGACATACCCCACTTGCAATACCTCAGGTAGTCTACTTTTGCAAATGGTATGCCATCATGGGGGTAAATCTCATTCCTGGGCTACCACACGGTCTCAAAGGTAATCTGGCAAATTTCAATGTGAAAAAACTGAAAAATGGAATGTGCTATATTTGACCCTTTAACTTTCCAAAACACCGTAAATACTGTTAATGGGGGCTACTGTTGTACTTGTGAGACTTCGCTGAACACAAATATTAGTGTTTTAAAACAGTAAAATGTATTACAACGATGATATCGCCAGTAAAAGTGAAGTTTTTTGCATTTTTCACGCACAAACAACACTTACACGGACGATATAATTGCTGCGATACTTTACTTTTGCTGAATCCCAGGACCACTTTTTTTTTTTTGGACTATTTTTTTTCTTATTTATTATTATTACACACTACACACACACTCTATATTCACTATACACACTACACATACACTGCATTCACTATACACACTACACACACACACTCTGAATTCACTATACATACTACACACACACTCTGCATTCACTTTACGCACACTACCCACACACTGCATTCACTTTAAACACCACACAAACACACACTCTGCATTCATTACATACACACTACACAAACACTCACTGCATTCACTATACATACTACACAAACACACTCTGCACTCATTATATATATATATATAAATATACACACTACATAAATACACACTGCATCCACTACACACACACTACACAGTAACACACTGCATCCACTACATGTGGCATGTATATTTTGTGCATTTACTTTTAGAAATAGTTTATTTTTTCAAAATTGTAAATGTACAGAATATCGGCTATCGGCCTGAAAGTTCACAGATTATCGGTATCAGCTTTTAAAAAAAATCAATATTGGTCGATCCCTAGCAGCTACAATACCCAGACCAGCTCTCTTTCAGTTTCTGATCAGTATTAAAAAAAATTTAAAATCCCATGAAGTCTCTGACTAATTACAAAAATGCACGAAATCCATAAAAAAATTTTTTTTTTAAAGATTTTCTGTAGATTCTCTTAAATACTCTTTTTGCTTCTTCTTTTATGCATCATACACCTTACAAAGTGCTTAATTTCAATCTGAAGTACCCTATCAGTGTAACTGCCATAAATCTTTTTTGTTTGTTTTTTCTTCATTTTTCCCTACAGCACTTAAGAAATATGTTGATGGAGCAATGTCATAATGTTGAGATTTCGCAGAAGAACATGTATTACATTGGGGATTTTCATTTTGTTTGTTTGTTTTATAATGATGGGACTGAAAACCTTGAGGCCTGACTCTGCTGCTTTTGGAAGTCCGTTTGGACTTGGACTTTTACCGAAATTCCAGAGAGAAGTAGAACACGATAAAGAACCAGACACTGAAAGCCGTGTCCAAACAGAACCTAGTGCTCAAACACAGTCTATAACTTTACAAGGATCTGCAATCATGCAGTCAGATACCGTAGACTTACCACCCCCAAATTATGACCTCCATATATTTTATTATACTTGGTATGGAAATCCACAGTATGATGGTAAATATATTCACTGGAATCACAAACTACTGAAACACTGGGATGCAAAAATTGCAAATAATTTTCCCAATGGAGAACACAAACCTCCTGATGATATTGGAGCAAATTTTTACCCTGAGCTGGGACCATATAGTTCCAGAGACCCATCTGTCATCGATGCTCACATGAAACAAATGCGGTCAGCTTCTATAGGTAAAGTGTTTTTAAAATCATCTTGTTTTGCAACTGATTTATTTTGTTAATGATACAAACCTATATAGCTTGTGGTCAGTACATGGATGTGAAAATGGTGAAAAACTTTGGCTCTGTTCTGCCATAGGCTTGATGTACATGGAGCACCAATTTTAAAGGGACACTGTAGGCACCCAGACCACTTCAGCTCATTGAAGTGGTCTGGGTGCTGTATCTCTTCTGCACTTAGTGCTGCAATGTAAAACATTGCAGTTCCAGAGAACTGCAATGTTTTTTCATTGCAGCTCTAAGTCTGCCCTCTGTGGCTGTCTTAACAGACAGCTAGTAGAGGGCTTCCGGAATCCAAACTGACTTTTGGTCCGTTATCTGACGCATGCGCATTAGGTGTTCCCTGCCAGCTGACATAGGCGGGGGAGGAGCATGGGCAGTAAGTGGAACGGGGGTCAAGGGAGGGGGGCACTCCAGGAGCGTAAAGTGCCAGGAAAACTGTTTTTTTTTTTGTTTGTTTTTTTTTTTTTTGTTCCTGGCACTACAGGGTCCCTTTAAATTATTTCACTTAAAGTAAGTACAGTATTATACATGTTAATTATAAATTATTTTTGTTTTTTCTAGTGAGTATATTCAGTCCCTACAGGCTTTTTGCAGTAAACACTGTATTTTCTGAAAAAAAGGAGTGTTTACATTAGGAGCACCTCCAGTGGCCACTACGCAGCTACTAGAGGTGCTTCCTGGGGCAGTGCTGCACACTGCATGGAGACAGTGAACTTTCCTCATAGAGATGCACGTATTCAATGCATCTCCCTATGAGGAGTTGCTAATTGGCTCTGACCTCTGGCCTGCTTCCTTGGCTGAGATCATCAGAATTGACCATAGCCGGCACTGGCAGACTGGAAAAAAGATACCCGTATATACTCGTGTATAAGTCGATCTCATGTATAAGTCGAGTGCAGTTTTGTGACCAACAATTGTGAAATATGCTATGCCTCGTGGATAAGTCGAGGGTAAAACTTGGGGCTATGAAATTCTGTGATTTTTATAATTATATACACACACTCATACTCTGCACACACACTCATACAAACACACACTCTGCATTATATATATACACACACTCATACAAACACACACTCTGCATTATATATACACACACACTCATACAAACACACATTCTGCATTATATACACACACACTCATACAAACACACACTGCATTATATACACACACTCTGTGTATATAATGCAGAGTGTGTATATAATGAAGAGTGTGTGTTTGTGTAGTGTGTGTGAACTGGGTGGGGGGAGGGCATTTTTATTATTTTAATTTTAATATATATTTTTTTTTATTTTAATTTTTTTTTTTTTGTCCCCCCTCCCTGTTTGTTAACCGGTCAGGGAGGGGGGCTATCTTAATCCCTGGTGGTCCAGTGGCATGGGCTGTGAAGTGGGGGGCCGGCAGGAAGCATTTACTTACTTTTCCTGCATCTCCTGTCAGCTCCCTTCTCCTCCGTTCCGGTCAGCTCCACTGTAAGTCTCGTGGTCTGGTTGCCGCGCGGATTGTTGCCACTGCTCTGACGGCCGCGGCTCTCTAAGTTGCCATAATACAGACAGTGACTCGAGTATAAGTCGAGTGGGGGTTTTTAAGCACAAAAAATGTGCTGAAAAACTAGACTTATACTCGAGTATATACTGTAAGCTTTTACTATATTTAGTGTGGCCAAGGGAGGGCTACATAGTGTTGTGTGTTTTTTTTTTTTTTTTTAACACTATAAGGTCAGGAATACATGTTTGTGTTCCTGACCCTATAGTTTTTCTTTAACCATAGATAAAATGAAGTGAAAAGAACTGTTTTTATAACTTTATTTAATTTGCTGATAAAAGATGACATGCAAAAGTAATTATGTGGTTGCATTTCATTGGCTAAATATTGTAAATCAGGGCTTGACAAATTTGCTTGAAATCTAGGAGCCAGATTTTTCAATGTCAAAAATACAATTCTTGAAGGGACACTATAGTTACCACACCCACTACAGCTTAATGTAGTTGTTCTGAAGTCTATATACGGTCTCTGCACGCTTTTCAATGTAAACACTGACTTTTCAGACTAAAGGCAGGGTTTACATTGCTGTCTGGTAACACCTTTAGTGACCGTCACTCAGACAGCCTCTAGAAGTGCTTCCTGGGTCAGTGCTGCACCTACATTAATGCTCCTCATAGGGATGCATTGATTCAATTGCATCTCTGTGATGAGAAGTTGATTGCGCGGCATGGCGTTATGTCGCGCATGCGCAATAGTCTCCCAATGTGTTTTTTTTTTTTTTTTATGGGGAAGCATTGGATTTCTTGAGATCATAAAGATTGATGATTTCAGTCTAGGAGTCACCAGCACGCCATGGGAAAAAGGTGTGTAAAAACACCTTTCCCATGTACCCCGTGCAGATCATCTAAACATACAGACACACTGACACTTACTGACAGACATACACACTCAAACACACACACAGTAGCACTCACACTCACTCAAAAATCATTACTGTTATTATTTTAAATCCACCCAGCTTCCCTACCGTTTTTGGAAAAGCTGGAGTGGATTAGCTTTCCCCTGTGGTCCAGTGGGGCTGCTGTGCTCTGCTCTCTAGAGCACTGTTTAGTGATGCTTGGCCAGAATGACATCATATTCTGGCTCCTGGAATCACTGGAGGGCGTGTGAGGGAGCAGAGCATTGACACTGCAGCTCTCTACCTCGCCGCCGCACTCAAAATACGGCCCCCCTCACTGATTCAGCCGCTCGCAGCCCAGCTCCCTCCCTCAGCTCTCTGTGAGTTGAGTCTGTGTGCCCGCCTCAGCCCACTAGTGCACTCATACTCCAGTCGTCCAGACACAGACTGTTACAGAAACCGGCACAAAACGCCCTCTTCTTACCAAATGATCAAGTCAAGGTCCCCAGGGAGTCCCACATAGAAGTGATCCTCCAGGTGTGTTGTGGAATGTGAACAGGGTGAACCCCCATCTGGTTTCATGTCTGAATATGCGTTGCCAAAACCTCCCTGCATACAGTGTCAAATGCTGAATAGAATGCTTCTTTCCAGCCTCGCAGGGAGGCTTCTGCTAGCATGGGCGATGTAGCTGGAGAGAAGACCATGTTAACTGAGTCTTGTGTAGCCCAATAGCCTTAGCAGAAATGTGTGTAACAAGTAGGTAAGCTTAAAGGATCACTATAGGGTCAGGAACACAAACATGTATTCCTGACCCTGTAGTGTTAAAACCACCATCTAGCCCCCCTGGGCCCCTCATGCCTCCATAAATCTAGTAAAAATCTTACTGTATTCAAGCTTGAAGCTGTAACTCTGCATGCTGTTATACTCAGAAAAACAAGCAGTGTGCTGACATCATCAGAAGTGGTAGCCTGATCCAATCACAATGCTTCCCCATAGGATTGGCTGAGACTGACAAAGAGGCAGATCAGGGGCAGAGCCAGCATGATTCAAACACAGCCCTGGCCAATCAGCATCTCCTCATAGAGATGAATTAAATCAATGAATTTCTATGAGCAAAGTTCAGCGTCTGCATGCAGAGGGAAGAGACACTGAATGTTTGGATGCATTTTAGGCAGCCATGACCCAGGAAGGATCTCTAACAGCTATCTGGGGAGTGGCCAGTGAAGTTATCACTAGGCTGTAATATAAACAAGGCGTTTTCTCTGAAAAGACAGTGTTTACAGCAAAAAGCCTGAAGGGAAATATTCTACTCACAAGAACAAATTCAATAAGCTGTAATTGTTCTGGTGACTATATAATGTCCCTTTAAGAGCCAGGCGCACCAATGTGGACCAGAATAGGCCCCACCAGTTCAAAATGGCGGTGGTAACAAGCACAATCTTGAAGTTCACCACTTCAAGCCAGGAGATTGGCTGCTTTTCCTGTGACTGCTTCTTCTCTGAGCTCACCAGGCAGACTATGCCGCAATCCATCAATTTACTCTCTCTCCTTTCGGGGTAGCTGCAATTAGACTTTAGTCTGCTCCCAATTGGGCATCAGACGTGCCTACATTACTGCAACATCAGCTAGATTTCAATATTATAATCAAGCTCCCCTTCATTGGCTAAATAGATCTGAACCAAGTCCACTATCGATCAGTAAATCAATTTTTTGCCTTTTCTCTGATACACATTTTGTAATTGACAGTCTTTATAATCCCTTCTGTTGTAACAGAAGTGATGCAAGACTTAGTAAGGACTAAATCTAAGACGGAATGTGTTCTACTAACTTAACTATATATTTTGAGCATCAAAATATTGGAATATTCTTACTTGATATATGTAGTTTGCATAGTATTTCTATTAACTGCCACTTGGTTATACTTGTCTATGGAATATTACAGAGGCATAAAGCATAGCCTGGCCTATCTATTAAGAAGTACTAATTAAAGGGACACTATAGGCACTACAATTTATTGTTGTACTTCTGAGCCATAGAGATTGTACCTGCAGCCTTACGTGAGAAAAGGCAGTGTTTACACTGTTGCCTAATTGACAGCCTCTAGGTCAGGCTTCCCCAAACTCCGGCCCTCCATATGTTGCTGAACTACAACTCCCATGATTCTCAGCCTATATATTTCATCCATAGTATCATGTGAGTTGTAGTTCAGCAACATCTGGAGGGTGGGAGTTTGGGGAAGCCTGCTCTAGGGGGACTTTCTGGGTTCGGTCCTTGAAAGATTGCAGGACCAACATTCCCTATGAGGAAACATTGGATTCTTTTAGGATAACAATCTCAGTCAGGGAATGGAGGCCACGGCACCACAGCCAGACCCAAGTAGACCTATATATACATACATACATACATACATACATACATACATACATACATACATATACAGGAATCGACAAATCCCAAACGCCTGGTCGCTGTGGTGACTAAGAAACTTGTCCTGGGATTTGTAAACCCGTTCAAACCCCAACATGACAGGCTGTCTGCGATCACAGGTGGGCAGGCGGTTCATGGACAACTGAAGGAGGCTGTGCTTTTCCTGCTCTGCTCCTCCGCGCGCCCTTTAGTGATGCCGGGTTATTATGTCACTCTGGCCACGGCATCATTAAACAGTGCACAAGGGAGCAGAGGAGGAAGATGACAACAGCCCCAAAGATAGGGAGGCTGGTGGATTTAAACTAAAACAAAGAAAATAATAATTTGTGACTGTATGTGAAAATGTGTGTGAGTTTTGTAGTGTCAACGTGTGTGGATCAAATCTATCAAATCAATTTGCCACTGTGTCTGTTTAGGTGACCTTTTCAAGATCAGAGACCACATGGGTTTTCTTCAGGGAGATCATGCCAAACTAATTTTATTTATTTTTGTTTTGATTGGGTAACTAAACAAATGGGTCAGGATGGTGCAGAAGACATTGCTTACCTAGATTTCAGTAAGGCATTTGACACTGTTGCACATTGAAGGCTTATCAATAAACTGCAATCTTTAAGTTGTGATTTCAATATTGTTGAATGGGTAAGGCAGTGTCTGAGTGACAGGCAACAGAGGGCTGTAGTCAATGGACCAAAGCAGTAGGTAATGTTAGCAGAATGCTTGGTTTCATAGAGAGAAGTATTAGCAGTAGAAAGAGGGAAGTGTTCATGCCATTGTACAAAACACTGGTGAGTCCTCACTTGGAGTATTGCAGGATAAAACTTACAAGGAAAGGTTAAAAAAATCTTAACATGTATAGCTTGGAGGAAAGACGAGACAGGGGGATATGATAGAAACATTTAAATACTTAAAGGGAGTCAACACAGTAAAGGAGGAGACTATATTTAAAAGAAGAAAAACTACCACAACAAGAGGACATAGACTTAAATAAGAGAGGCAAAGGTTTAAAAATAATTTCAGGAAGTATTACTTTACTGAGAGGGTAAACAAATCCTCCTCGAATCCTGTGCTGGTCTCGTCGCGGCTGTCATCACCTCCATGGCTGAGATCCTCAATCTTGACAATCTCGGCCAATCGAATGCTTCCCCCTAGGAAAGCATTGGTAGACTATTGCACGACATAATGCCACACTGTGCCAATCAACATCTCCTCATAGAGATGCATTGTACCAATGCATCCCTATGGAGAGCATAAACGTCTCCTTGAAGAGCATGGAGATGCTGAAGACTGGTGCTGGATTACAAAAAAGGTGTGGAAGGATGACCTCAAGGAAACTCAGGCCAAAATGGGCACCATCCAAAAGAGGCTGGATGCTGTTGAAGCGAGGTGCACAGAGAGAGACAACCAGCTGACAGAAACAAAAAGTCAGATCGAAAACTATTCTATCAGGTTTAAAGGCTGACAAGATCTATCACTGTGTTGGAATCCAGACACAAAAGAAAAAACATCCGTCCTAGAGGAATTTCGGAGAGGATCATGGGTAAGGACTGGCTACCTTATGCCCAGAGGCTGGTGACCACAAAGGGAGAACTGACCCTTCGAGGGTGATGTCGGCATTCAGAGTCCATAAAGCAGCTGCAGCCCCACAAGGAGCCCCCAGAGACACTATTATTGTCATGAAAGATGACACCACAAGGTCTGCTATTAGAGCCCTAGGGACTGTATAATATGAGGGCTGCTCAATGGCCTTCTATGGAGACCTCCCGTTTACAGTACTCACAGAAAGGAAACGACTGGCTCTAGTTGCCAGGAAACTGCGGGACAAACTCTGTCAAGTACCGCTGGGGCATGGAGGGCTTGATCATAGTCACAAACTGCATGTATGACCCAGAGTAATTTCTGAGAAAGCTTGACTTGGCTTGTTCATAGCCTTTCTGCTCCATTTAGTCTTTACTGCAGAACCAATCTATATGCGTTAATCACTCCTCATAACTGCAGAATGATAGTTTTTCCTTTGTTTTAAATGCATAGATGTGTCTTAAGTTGTCCTTCTATATGTGTTTTTTTTATATTTTATTGCACCTTCTCTTATATTGATCTGGAAATATAATTGGTACATAAAACTAGAAAAAGCAACCCAATTTCTACACAAATGTGTTCTAGCTGAATGTGCTGCTTGCAATCACCCTCCTATCACTCTCAGGAGCCAGTATATGCTTTGTTTTTAGAGATAGAAGTGTGATGACAGTAATCTCACTCCAATCACTCTATTAGCCAGCCCAGTACATTAAAGTAGATTATGCACTGTCTCACGTCCCTGACTTCAGCTGAGCTCTACATGCTGAGATCACAGACGAGCAACGTGAGATTGCGTCATGAGGCCTCATTGTCTGGCGGCTGTAGTTTTCAGATGCGGAAGGCGGCGTGTGGTAAATGGGAAAGGTAAATTATCCGTAATCTCTGTAAATTATAAGACTATAAGAACAAATATATTGTCTAATAATTGGCTGAACCCAATATTCAGTCTATCCCTAGTATAAAGGCATTAAATACTTAGAATCTGTTTAAAATGTTTATAGTTTAAACAGTTGTCTTCTGGGGGGGTGGAGCCAAGCAACTGACCAGCCCAGACGTGCCGGGCAAGAGCTCCCACGCCTGGGAACTAAAAACTGGGCCATCGCGAAAATCGGAACCGGTAGAGGCTACCGCATCAAATGGTTCCTCTCTCGAGCCTCAACTCAGCCTAACAGATGGGCCGAGGTTTGCGGCCTACTGGACTCTGAGCCACGGAGAGACAGCCGCTCTCCGGGCACAAAAGCGAACCGTGGGAACCCAGTGAATCACCTTCTTCTACCCCTGGACCAGTGGGGGTTATCCTTGTCCGTACAACCAGCTACAAGGTACCCCTGGGAGCACTGCAGGCAAGCGGAGACCACAAGGCCTACTCAAAATGGCCAACGGTGGCATTACTCACCCAGACCGACGAAATCCCAGTGACTGGGAAGCAGACGTCCACGCCAGTTTTGAGGACGTCTGCAGTCAGTTCTGGACACGCCTGGAACAGAGACACAGGCCCATACCACCAGGCCGCATAAAGAACAACGCCTTACCAGAGGGGAGAGCTCCAAACAGCGCAAATACGGAGTGCGGCACACGAGGACCCACCCAGGTACAGCTCCCAAAATAGGCCCACCTGACATCAGAGCTGCAAGGGGTGCAACCTACCCACGCCGGCGGAGGTGCCTGTGGAAGCCCGGGAATGCGTCCCGACGTAACCACACGCCAAGACACCAGCCACAGATGCGACAAGCCCGGGGCAAGCAGGAGAGCAGGTGCAGCAACAGCCCGGACATGCTACTGGGGAGCCCCCCTGGAAACAGAGCTCCGCTCCAAACGCGCAGTCCCGGCCTCCAGAACGGGGATCGGCTAGGTGCAAGTGGACTGCCTCACCAACCGGCTTTCAGCCAAAGCCCACGCTCTTGATATCTGCCCAGATGTCACCTTACCTGTCACCTCACCTTCCCTTTGCTGGCAGACTTCTGCACCCATCAAACATGGACTCAGAGACTATCCTAACAATTTTTACATATAATTCACAGTGAGTTCCTAACTTTGGGCAATAGGCCTCTACTACTCAGACATAGTTGAATAAGCTTGTTTTATTGCCCAATACTGCACCACTGGTTGGTACCAACCTAGCATGATACACTCAGACATGCCACTTAGGCATAATGTTAGCTTATTTCCTACAGCTCAAACCGTGTTTAGTACCCCAGCTCCCCACATATTTCCTATAATCTAAAATAGTACAGCACATGTGACACTCTAAACTAAGCTTATGACAAAACTGTGTGTATTTTTCTGCACTACAAAATAAAGAATTTAAAAAAATAAAATAGTTGTCGTCTACTATTGTTTTGTGAAAATGCACAGGTAATAACATCCACTGCTCATTAAGTACTGTCCCTCGCTCTTTCCAATTGGCGGAAAAAAAGAATTAACTCATTTCATGTATTTCAGGTGTTGTGTCATTATCATGGTATCCGCCAGGAATGAGTGATGACAATGGCGAACCATGGGATGACTTGGTGCCAGTGATTTTAGACGCAGCACACAAGTATGAACTAAAGGTTAGTGTTTTTTCCTATATTGCTTTTGGAAATAAAAAAAAAAAAAAAAAGTTTATACCTATATTGATAATCATTACAACAATTATTACTTCTGATATTAAAGATCATCTTAGAGCCAAACCTTTGTAAAATAATACAAGTTCTCTTGCTAGTGCATGACCACATCTATATTTCCCTGTTGTCTCTAAAATTGTCTTAAGCCATCTTAATGGACTAAGGTCCTTATAAATAACTAAATGTGTAATGTGACTCAAATTTCTCTTGGTGAGTAAAAATTCAGTGCTGGTGAATGCACCATGTTCCCTTCAGGGAACTTCTCATATTGTCTAGTAGCATAGGACATGGCATTTTGAGCTCTGTTTAAAGAATCAGCATACTATTCAATAATCCATTAAGAAAGGGCTTAACACAGAGCCTGACAAATTTGCTTTGAAGCTAGAAGGGGGGGTGGGCGGAGACCCCGCAACATCACCCACAAAGGCAGAGGTCTTACGGCGACAAGCTGCTCAACAACATCAAAACCTTTGGTTTCCTCTCACAGGGGCAAGGCTTGGTTACTATGGGCTCCCAAGTTTGTGGTTCACATATGTCAGCCTGCCATCTGGCCTGGGGCTGGAGGAGTAACCCTCGTCACATTCAAGTTGCCATCGCTTCCTGCACTCTCGGTATGCCTACCTAAGGCTTCCTGGCTATGGAATGGGCTGAATGATTACCCACCCTCCAGGGCAGCTCCACCGTGCACATACTGGTACTCACCCACAAGCAGAGACAACCCTTCTGCCAATTATAGGCTTGATTAGCTGTTTTGTATTATATGATTATTTTGTTTTACTCTTTTTTGTTTTTGTTTTTTTGTTTAGCTCTTACCATACATCGAAAGATGCAACCGTGTTTGCTTCAGTCATCCTCCAGTGGTTTTCAGCTTTCACATTATCCAACCTATTTGTTAGTCTGAGTATCTAAACCTACTATCTAAGAAACGCATGGCCATCACTCAAATGGCCACTAAAGTGTTTCTTATCCTACATGTAGCGTCTCCAAGTTCTGCATTGAGGCGCTGAACATTCCCTATAGAGATGCATTGATTGCAGTGATGCCGAGAGCTGGGTTATGTCACTCCGGCTCACTAAACAGTGCATGTGAGTGAGATGAGCAGGGAGATGACAGCAGCCCCACTGGACCCCAGGGAAAGCTTATCCAATCAAGCTCTCCAAAGATAAGGAGCCTGGGGGGGATTGAAATTAAAATAAAAAAGTAATTATTTTTGTGTGTGTCTCTGTCTGTGTGAGTATATGTGGGTTTTTGCCTGTGAGTGTGTTTGTGTCTGTGGGTAGGCCCTGACTGCCAAGGGCAGAGGCCGACGTGGAGATCAAGCCAGAGAGCTGGAATCTACTGCTTAACTCTGTTAATTCACCTGAACTAAACCCTGCAATACAGGTCTAATGTTTTGGCTGAGAATGTCAGCTGACCCTCTTCTAAACGATCAACTTAATTTATCTGATTATGTGTATAGTCTTAATTGCTTATGTTACATTTATACATTTTTAGGTTACATTCCACATTGAGCCATACCAAAGTCGAGATGACCGCAGTTTGCGAAGTAATGTGGTCTACATTATTGATAAGTAAGTTATTTTTCAAAGTTTCATGTTAAATTTCCATTTCATTCTATCAAATATTTATCTTTGAGCCTAGGAGGGTCATCCCTTTCCCCTGAAGCGGAGGAAACCTGAGTTCATACTCTGTTTATCACTAGAGTATTTCAGCTGTTGTTGGACTATAACCCCTAATATTCTCTAATATACTCTATTGGCTAATAAAACCATCTGTAAGGTGCATCCAGTATTGGGTTGTTTTTGTTTTTTTTTGTTTTTTTTTTTAATAATAGTTGTTGCTATCTTGCAAATTATAGCTATCAGATTGCCTGTTTGCTGGAATTGAATAAACACATGAAGTAATTCTTTGATTTGACCTTTGGATTTCATGTAGCAAATACACAAGGACAGCTTTGGGAATTTTCCATTTAGAGCTTGGTGAATAACTCATCTATTTGTTCAACCTTAAAAAAAATTAAAAAATGAGTTATTAAAAAAAAAAACATCTTACCCTTCTTGCGAGTGAGACTTCTGGGAGTTATAAGTCTTTATTGCAGATATGTTTCCAAAAACCAATGTCCTTCATAAAATACATTTTCATATATAGCCTATGGAATTATTACTGATATATAATAAGGTATAATGAAAAATGTGAAAACTGGAATCAAAAACTCAGGGAACATTTACAAAAGTTGCCATCATTTGAAACAAACCTACCCTACAATTGTTTACAATTAGTATTGTGATGGGACCAGTTATCTTGGAAATTGCCAATAATGTCACTATAAATTATTAAATTACAATTTTACAAAAGAAGAAATGTGGCTAGGGCTGCATAAACAGAAACAAAGTGATTTAACTCCTAAATGGCAGTAAATTGAGCAGTGAAATTGCAGGGGAATGATCTATACACTAAAATAGCTTTATTTAGCTAAAGTAATTTAGGTGACTATAGTGTTCCTTTAAGGAATTACACTGCTCCCTAATACATTATGGCTCAAACCAATATGATAACTTATATAATCCTTGTTGTGACGTAGATATTTACTTTTTTTCTTATTTTATCTTTTCCCCCTTCTAGATATGGAAGCCACCCAGCATTTTATCATTCTAAAACCAGCACAGGCAGAACTTTACCAATGTTCTATATTTATGACTCGTATATAACTAGCCCTGATACCTGGGCCAATCTTTTGACACTGTCCGGGTCCCAGAGTATTCGAAATACCCCATATGATGGTATTTTTATTGCCTTGCTTGTTGAAGAAAAACATAAATATGATATCCACAGAAGTGGTTTTGACGGTCTTTACACTTACTTTGCAACAAATGGTTTTTCATTTGGATCTTCACATCATCACTGGTCAAGTTTAAAAACTTTCTGTGACACCAACAACTTAATATTTATTCCAAGTGTTGGACCTGGATACATAGATACCAGCATTCGTCCATGGAATTTTCAGAATACGAGAAATCGAATCAATGGGAAATACTATGAAACTGCTCTAAATGCAGCTTTGATGGTTCGACCTAGTATTATTTCCATCACTTCCTTTAATGAATGGCATGAAGGAACCCAAATTGAAGCAGCTATACCGAAAAAGAATGGTCTTGTTAAATATGAGGATTACTTGCCATATAAGCCAAATATGTACCTGCAGCTCACTAGAAAATGGTCTGAAAAATTTGTGAAGGAAAAAGAACAATGGCTAGTCTAATACAGGCTGTATATATTACCTTGTAAGAAGCAACCAATCTTTTGTGTGTTAAAACATAACTCTTAAAGATAAGACAATCTAGAGTAATGGTGATTCAAAGAGATCCTATTAATCACCCTAGGCCTGAACATAAAATTTTCAAATTTTCAGATGTATGTAGACGGATGCTAAAAGAAAACATAGATTCCAAAAATATGAATACTAGTGTGAATTTACCCTGTTCTATAAAAGAAAAAAAACAGACTTATTTTTCAATTAATATTCTTCAGTCAGAAAAATCGTACTCTACCAGCCACCAATAAAGAAACAGGATGGATATGACCAATATTGTTTGGGGGCCTATAACTTTATTTAATATGTTTAAGACATACAGTGCTAGAAACTGTAGCAAGAGCTCTTAGTTAATGCATTCAGCATTGAAATAAAATTTTCTGAAATTCATAGAATGTTAGAGATAAGAGAATGGCAGGGCATGAAGGGGAGATCTAGAAACCTTAACACACATTGTTTTGAATGGGGTAACTAATCACAATCAATCGAATGGAGCTCAGTCCAATCCACTGAAGAAGTGCTGTCTGTTCCTAAAATGGTAACATGTAAACCTACTAGCTATGGGATGACCCATTTTATTATTTATTTTTTGTAAATATATGAAGCAGCTTTTTGTTTTTAAATATCCAAAAAAATAAAAACCCTAAAACCACATTCCTACACTTGCTGAAAATCCACATGCTAAGCCACATCTTAAGTGAGCTATAGCCAAACCATTTTGCTATGATCCTATGTACAGTGGTATTTATGAAGGGAAAAAAGGAAACTCTACAGATCCCACCTTTATGGGATGTGAATGTCTGGAGTGCTATTTTATCTTAAAGTTGTCCAGTTAACTTCCATATAGTTAAATTCTCATGACAAATGCATCTTCCATGTTCAAGAGTCCAATAGCAGTGAGCTTGGAACCAATCCAGATGATTCTTGGTGTTGTACGTAGTAATAATCGGCATATGCAACAGCCTGGCTATGGAAACCAATTTCAGAAAGCTCCCATAAAACCGTTCCTTTTCCAGATGACGTACGCAGATGATTTTTAGACTGAGTTACTCATAGACATTTCCAGTGCACAATTGCGTCAGTTAGCTGACTGCGTAATGCTAGAAAAATATAAATGTAATTGTTTTTTGGTGTCACATAAGTAACCAAGATGTGCAGAATGGGCCATTTCTACGGCGATTTATATAGATGTTCTTTGTTTTGTACACCTACAGGAATGGGTGCAACTGAAAAATCTGAATATGTTAGAGGTGACACTTAAGTTCACATATGTTTTTAACTATAAAGTATAAATTATTGTCAAAAGGATTTATATCTTAAAACCAGAACCATTACTCATCAGGATAAGTAAAACAAAATTATGTCTGTTAACTGTTACTGTAGTTCCACATATGCCCCTAATAAATTCTGCATTAGACAAAAAGCCAATTAGTACTTAATGGCAAAAATGCTATTTGTTTTCTTCATATATTCATTGATAATCTAGATGATGGGCTTTTTCTTAGGCTATCAAAAAAAAATGAATTTTTTTTTTTAAGTCTTAAATGAACACTATAGTGACAGAAATACAAACATGAATTAAATGTGTATGCCTAGAGTGCCACTTTATCTCAAAGTTGCCCATTTAACACATCCACATACTGAAGTGGCTGTTTAGGTTAGTAGTCTCCCTTTGCTAGCAGTAAAACTGCAGCACTACACTAGGAAGCACCGCTAGAGGCTATCTGAGCGACTTACCCTAGAGGTGTTACTAGGTACTTTTTCTCTGATAAGACAGTATTTGCTGTGTTACCACTGCCTTTTTTTTTTTTCGCCCCAATGAGAACATTCATGCATTTATTGTTGTTTATTTTTTTTTCAGTTTGTGTCTGTCTAATCACAGATTTCCCCAATGCAGCTCATTAAGAAGTCTATGCAATTGCTAGCCTCTTGGGTTTAGCTCCAATGAAGTAACAGGATGTTTCATCGCATAGACTGCCAGGGGACTGTAACAAGGTTGAGATTTAAATGTACTAATTCCTATTGAACTGTGCACATTTTGAAAAATAAGAGAACACACATAAAGCACTTTAGCCAGAAAAACTCCTTTATGTGTTTGCATGTATCTAAGATGAATTGTCACTAACAAAACCATTTTTTCCCTTTCCTCTGTAAATGCAATTGAAGTGGATACTGGGATGAGTTATCAGTTGAGAAGAGAATAACACTCATGTTTGCACTGGTTCAGAATATAGATTGTAAAATATTCCTATGAAGTTCAGTTTGTAAAAATATGTTTGGGCATTTTCTTCCCATAATGACAGGCATTATGTGAAACCAGAGGCATATATTGTGTGCCTGATTTTCTCCTACTAACCTTGCATATGATGTAAGCCATAATTGAAAATAAACCTAGAACAATATTTTGTGGGGAAAATAAATGGCTTTTATAAAAATAAAAAAAATCTCAGTTCTAGTGTAATGTAAAATGCAGATTATATTTATTAGTATTGTAAAATTTCTGAAAATATTTACAAAATAGCAATAGAATAATTACCTGGCTGTAATTACAGTGTATAGCAGACATTCTGATACATATTGCCCTGTTTTCATTTAACTAAAACTCCAAATTAGAGAGAAAGTCTAGCTAATCCTGTTTGTCTAGTTTTATAAATTCTGGAGATATTTTATTCCAGGTGACCAGCTATTTAGGAGCAGTTCTCATACTGCAAACCAAAAATAGTGCTAGATCAGTGGTGTATTTTGGTATTGTGCTGTCCTAGGCGTGATTAAACTCGATTACCCTCCTAATCTAAATTTTATTCACCTCTCCCAATTTAAGACACACCTTTTCTTCTGCAAACTCCACATTTTCCTCTTAGAGCACCACCTCTTCCTCTCTGTACCTTAAAAGTGGATAACAAGTGTCTATATTCATTTTTTTATTTTTTTACCATTTTATACTACTTTAGCCTTAGCGCACACACCATTTACTCCATACTTGCATCAATCAATCGATCATGAAACTGACATGATGAGGTTTTTAATAACTTAGATAATTTTAATTAAACAAATATATAAATATTTTAAACGGAAATGCAACTTGTTGAATCTGAGAGTACAGGTTTCATATACGATGCCAGAAAAACGTCATGATTTGCCCCGGCCTGAAATGCGCCTCGGGTGTTTTATACGCTTTTTTCCTCTGCTTATTTGTTTCACTATGGGCAAGTGTTTTTTCGGTTATTTAGGGTATTATTTATTTATTTTGCTTATTGATTTTTCTAGTTGTGACACATATTAACTTGTCACTGCGGATAGGCAGCAGTCTGGATAGTTTACCCCTGTAGGCTTTTACTGCTTTGCAGACAGGTGGGTTTACTTACATTTATTTCTATTTTATTTTACTCTGTTTATTTTTTTCCATTCTAGCCCTCGAAGGCTCACGTTAGATTGGAGTTTGACTCCAGCATACATGGTAGTAGGGGGCTTGTACCCTGAGGTATAGGAATCATACATTCTGTCCTCTTCTCTGTTCCCCTGTTACCTATTAGGTATGCATGTTATTTGAAACTTTCTATCCTGATATGTGTACACCAGACTATGGATTTTTGCTCTGGTGAGTGTGTTTTCCCTGCTCTGTTTGTATTAAGGTAGGGTAATACTCACACGATCCATAACTATCATAACTGCCTTTGATCTAAAATTGTTTCTAAACTGTCACAGCTATATTGGCTACTTTTCTTGTAACGTTACTCTGAAGGGATGTTAAGTCTTCTATCCTGTTGTAATGGCCACCCTGAGTATCAGAGGGGTGTATGCTGTTAGAGGCGTCCTTTTCCCTTGAGAGGAGCTGTGCTGCAATACTCTCCAGATGTCATCTCAGCCGAACCAGCAGTTGAAGGTGTAGTAGAGCTGTTACAAGAGCTATTGATTAGTTGTGAATCAGGTTCTCTACAAGCACGAGACAAAGCTATGTGTTGAGGGTTAAGCAGAACAATTTTTACCCATTTTCAGAAATACCATAAAACCATATCCAAACCACATAAAAAATATTTTTTTTTCTGATAGCCCATAGTAAGGGGAACAACATGTTAAAAAATCATGCGAAACGTTTCAGGGGTTCGGGAGTTAGATGGAAGTCCCATTTCTGCCTGGCCGCACACGAGGCTACTGACCAAAATAGTTCCATGAATTAAGGTGGTGCGGCCGGTCTCTTTTGTGCATTAAAAAATGTCAAACAATAGTTCCCATAAACGGTCGTGCATGTGATGGTCGTGTGCCGTTTCATTCGTATATTATTTCTATCGAATGCGGTGTTTGGGAGATCGAGTGTCCGAAAATAGTTCCAGACACTCGACGACCAAATCCCGCTGGATGCGTTCGACAAAACAAGACGGCCGCCGCCACGTGTTCGTGCATACAAATCGATGGCCACCCAGTGAACCACTTAGAACGTTGGGGTTGTGGTTTATCATAGAATCAATTGGCAGCACTCGACTGGCTTGGGTGGTCTAACGTTCGGTATTCGAAAAAATTTGGTATAGTTTGTTCATTTTTAAATTCGTTTGGGGTATAGGTGCAGGGTATTGCAACGAGCGTTCGAACAGTAACACGATTGTAATCCAAATGAACAGGGCATCTGTTACACCTGTATCTCTAGTTTGCATAATTCAAGTTTATTTCTCATATCGTATTGAGTTTCAGGATTTCCTTTCTCGTATAGTGGCCAATCTTTTCTATGTAATTTTGTTGATTGTTACTCATTATTTCCCCAGCATTAATAAAGGATTATTAAATTGAGATTTACATGGGTTATGTGAGCGTTTCTGTCAAAGGGTTTCATCCTTTACCCGTGTTACACCAATTATTGTGATATTTTTCAGTGTAAGTTCATAGTATATAACTTCAGTGTATATAATTACATTACACATTGTGACAGACCCATCTGTATAACTATTATTGCTGGTTCATCTAGTTTGCCTTCCTTTCGTGGAATTGCCTCTCCGTATACCCCTAGTCGGATGTTTGACTTTTTACCGAATGAACTTACCGAACGGACGGCCACCCAGAAGAGAAGTGTGCTGCTGGTTAACCTCTTGATCCCAATTAGAACGTTGTGGTTAACCGCAGACTCCTCTTAAATACAACCGAATGCCGGGTGGTCGTCAGTCGTATGTCGACCACGAGGCGGCGGCCATTTTAAACCATGCGAAAGGAACTAAAAACGGACACTTTTTCTGCCGAACACCGCTGAAACCACAGACCGCCCTTCTTAGTCGACAAGGCATGCGAGCACCGGCCGTTCGGGAGTTTGGATTATACGAATGAACTGAACCCAGATAGCATACCGAAAGACTGTAAAAGACTTTGACTCCATGGCGATTGAACTGTACGTATGGGATCTGAGCGCTATTCGCTAAGAATATGCACTCAGATCCAGGCTATCTGTGGATGTGTTACACGAATATAATATGTTCGGTAGATGGGTAATTGTTTATTTTTATGTGTTTTGCCTGTCTTACTTAAAATGGCGATTTGCCTGTGTCCTGGGAGATAATTGAATTACTTCTCAATTATCTCCAGGGCAGAGGGGAGGAAACCGGGATGCATTATGGGAATATTTTGTGCCTGTATGTCTGAAAGTGCCATGTGTCTGTCTGTCATTAGTCTCCCATTTGATCCCCTAGGGGAGTGTCCACCAAGTGGGAGACCTGCATAAATACGGGCGGGTAGCCCACAGTAAAGCGAGTTCTTGTTTTACCCTCAATGCGGAGCTTGGTCTCGTTATTGGGGGGATTTACTACACACGGTTAGTGACTGATTGCTGAAACTGTAAGCCGCTTGGAGGATATATTTGTTCGGCTGTTAGCTGCGATTTGTGGATTTATTGGTCGGGAGCTTGGAGCATCCATATGGGTCCCGTTCGGGAGATTGGCGCATTCCCCTGGTTGCAGTTCGTATGGTTGGAGTATATACGAATGGAGCTTGCATTATTGCGAAAGGGGAAGCTTAACCAAACGGCGGTTTCACTCCTTTGTGCCAGGGGTGTCTTAACACACAGCTATGATCTTTAAGAGTTTTTTCCAATTTTGGGGGGTTCCTTTTCGTTTAGGACCCTTCTCATTTAGTTTCATATACAACGCCACTTGTTTTGTGTTATTTTAATGTCCAGTCCTTGCATAAGTGTCAGAATTCTCCAAAAACACCATCTCTAAACGGATCAGTTCTGTAGCCTCTGTGGGTTGTGCTTCTTCTCAGAGTTGCCTGTCAGAATGTTGTGCTCATTTGTATAATCCATTGTCCTGTGGTCCAGTATCCTGTATCACAGCTTCCAGTGGTCCTGTATCCTGTGTCAGAGCCTCCAGTAGTTCTGTGATTTATAGTTGCCAATGGAATGGTACCTGTACCAGAACCTCCAGTGAGCCAGTATTCTATATTCCTTCTTCCATAGGTCCTGGATGCGATGTTGGATGGGGATAATAGGAATGGGAGATGGGGCAAATAAAGTTTGTTTATCAACTACAATGAACTTCTTGTGGCTGTAATGAAAGGCAAGAAAAAGCCCTATGTATCAACACCACTATTATGCATAAATCTAGTTGAATCAAATGTATCCAATGAAACAGTGTGTCAATACCGACTAATACCTGGTATATTGTTACAGAGGTTGGATTTATATTCCCATTACAGTAAACTTCTTGTGGCTATAATAAAGGGCAATAATCAATAGAAAGCCACATCACTTTCTATTGATTACTATTATGGGTAAACTGTATAAAATCAAATATGTATTGTAACAGTTTCTCAACACCAACTGCTACCTGAAGAGATATTACAAAGATTGGGTTATGGATGGCATCTTTGAAAAAAGAAAGCCTTCTCCAACCTAGCTCAATAAAAAAAATCTGACTACAAGGTCGCTGATTAAGAAAAATTAGCCAAAGAGAAGGCTAAATGCTGCCAAACACCCAACCTTAAGTTGCTGCAAGGTCCACCCTGTAACTCCCCCAATCCTACAACTGCATTTACCTCCAGTTATGTCCACACAAATAATAGTCTAGAGTTGTTAATGTTCCCTCTAAAAGACTTCTTAACTAAATCACAATCGTGCAACAAAAAAAGTGCTGTGAGTTAAAAAAAAAAGAATAACAGTAAGCCGACACGCGTTTCAGCACTACTAAAGCGCCTTCGTCCGGGGCATTCAAGGAGAGCCGCTCACCGGGTCTCCTTAGATCAGGCTGAAATAGCCGGTCACATGATGGCCGCAACCATTTGTGGCTCTAAGGGGTGTGTAATGAGTATGCAGATATGTCACTGGCGTGTATTGTATCCTGCCCTAAACGGTGCCGACACTCACACCCACCTCCTTACTGCATTGACGCGAGGGGGAGGATGGGAGGAGTCTTGGCCGATGAATTTACACACATAGTGAAGGGGAGGGGAGTAAATACTTGTAAACATCAGTTTATACATATCTCTGGACTTTAGTCCCATATTGCTAAGAAGGGTTACAAACTCATCCCCTTCTATTATGACCTGAAACATAAGAGGTGGATAATCATTGGGACATATCTCTATGTAGTTAATATTGTACTAAGCTACTGTACAAATATATGCAGTAAGGCATAGGTCATCCAAGCATGATTTGAACAGTGTAATGAAATATATAGGCTATTTGTATTAAAGGTCACTGAAAAGAGAGATCATATTACCATATTCTCTAGAAAAAAATCTACACTGTGACCTTATAATAAATACTCATTATAATAGTGTACTAAATAGTAAGTTATATACTATTGAGCATATAGTAAGTTATATACTATAGAGCATATTCTATCCAAATATTTAAACACTCCTTAATATTATGAAAACCAGTCTTAAAGGGACCCCAGGTGAGGAAGTTAAATGCAGCCTTTGGTATATTGTTTGTCCCTCTCAAGAATGCATAAAACTATATACAAAATATAAGAAATTGTAAATAATTATCTATCCCATAAATCATTGTCAATGTCATACTTAGCTGCCAATATAAGGGGAGAAAGTGAAACCCTCATTTAAGCCCTTAGGTACCAGAGTGTTCAATTTATAAATCCAGAAACAAGGGCTAAATCAAGGTCACATTCTCTTCTACCTAGACTGACTCTTTCTATACCCGGAAACTTAATGCCCCTGGGGGACTCTCTATGGTATGCCCTCACATGTCTTGCCACTGCGGTTTCTTCAAAGGTTGTCACAGAATGGATATGTTCCATAATTCTCCTTTTAAATGGGCGTATTGTCTTCCCCACATATTTGAAGCCACATTCGCAAGTTAAAAGGTGTATATAACTCCAGAAGTGTTGCAGTTGAAAAATTGCTTAACTGGTATTTTAAGTGTGCTCTTCGAATCTGTGATCGTTTTTGATCCTTTTGAAATGTATCGACATGCCACACAGTGACCACACTGATAGGTGCCCACTACAGATATCCAGCTTTTCTTAGCAGTTGGGTTAGATAGGTGATTTGGCACCAATAAATCTTTTAGGTTTTTTCCCTTTTTGGCTGTCAAGGATGCTTTAGGGGAGGTGACTTTGGATAGATGTGGGTCTTGGGTGTCAAGAGAGGCCAGAATCGATCCATCACTTTCCTGGCTGCTTCCCAAGCTGAATCGAAGTTTGCCACACATCTTATTTGTTTAGGAATGTCTAAAATGTTCTTATCACTGAGAAGTGTACCTCTTTCTCTAAATAGTGCTCTCTGGTAGGCTGTTTTTATACACTTATTAGGATACCCCCTCTCTTTGAATCTTTGTCTAAGTTGGATAGACTTATCTTTAAAATCATCAAGGCACGAACAATTAAGTCTGAGTCTTAAATATTGGCCAATCGGGATGCCACACTTCAAGGGTATCGGATGATGACTATCCCATCTGAGCATTGTGTTGGTTGAAGTGGGTTTCCGGAACAAAGTTGTATTAATATCTAACTTCTCAGATATAGTTAATGTACATTCCAAGAAATTAAGGTAGGGGGCCCCTTTTTCCATGGTGAGTTTCAAGTTGAGATCATTTGTGTTCAGATGTTTGATGAAGTGAGTAAAGATCTCCCCAGACTACGAGGATGTCTTCCACAGAAACACATGGTCCAGAAATGACTTGGGAGCCTCTGAAAATAGGACTGGGCACAAGATGTCCCCATCACAATGCCCTGCAGCTGGTGGTAGACTTGATTGTGGAAGAGAAAGAAGTTATATAAGTTAAGATGAATCGCAGGAGAGTTAAGACAAAGAACGTGTGTCTCTGATGTTCAGGGATGATTGCATTCTGGGGTACTTTGAGCTCTGACAGGCATTTGAGGTAGTCTTTCGTATCTCTCAGATATGATGGTAAGTTCTCTATAAACATAGTATATTGTCCACATATATACTGGCTCTATTGGTCAAATTATTAGAACGTGAAACTATGGATCTTCCCGTCAGGTTGGTGTATTGTTTATGAATCTTCGGGAGGCAGTAGAAGGTGGACACAGTTGGTTTATTTATGTAGATGTAGTTATACTCATCCTTAGTAATGACTTGCTCGTCGTAGGCTTTGTCAAGGAGAGATATATATTCCCTCAGAAACTTAGCAGTGGGGTCCCCAGTGAGTACACTATATGTTAATCGATCGTTAAAGATTGTCTTGGCAATCTGAACATAGTGTTTCCTATTCATAAGAACTACATTATCACCCTTATCAGCAGGTTTTATGATGACGTTCTCATTGTCACGCAGGTCTTGGAGACTCTTCCACTCACTTCTTGTAAGATTACCCTTTGGTTTTAGGATTAATGACTCTGTGGGAATTTATGAAATGGTATTACAGGTTGATTCAACAAATAAGTCAATATTCCTGAAATCACGAATATTTGGAGTAAATTTCTTTTCTCCTGGGTCGAAGGTCAGTATAGGTTTTAGGTGAAACATTATCATTACTTTCAAGTAGGGATACCAAGTCTTGAAGGCATTGGTATTCCTTCAGATTAAACCTGAGTTCACTAGCTTTTTTCTCATCCTTTATCATATGGAATTTATGGAGAGCCAGCCATCCGCCAACCAGATTTATATTCAAAATGATTGAATGGTGGAATAGGGACAAAGGATGGGCCTTTTAACAAAACTTTGGTCTGTACTGTGGTAACAGTAATGTCTGAAAGATTGATTTTCCCCTAACTTTGTAATAATGTCTTTGGACTCTCCCTCTGTTGCGTGTGGACCTGTATTATGTTGAGTCCCCCTCTCAGGGGTTGTTAGTGAAGATTTCTTGCGTCAGGAATTTTCCTTTATGTCATGCCATGGGCTTCTAAGCAATTTGCAACTCTCTATTTTTCCTTGTCCCCAAACCATATGGCGAGGAACCTCAGTGAACGAGACAAGACAATGCAAGGTTCAAAGTGACTTCTCACATTTAATTGGCTGTGTAACAGGTTATGTGCAGCAGGAAACAGGGGTGGTCTTTACAAGCATTATCCAATCCTAATAAAATCATCTATCTTATCTTAACAAATTACATTATTTAAAATAGCTGACATGCTCCAAGTTAGCCAGTTTTAAACAGACTGAACATCCTGTCATCTGTAGCTTGAGCCTTGGGTCAGTATAGGCAAAGTGTATTATTCCAAACAGGGGTTCTTCCCTAAAAAAGATTTCAAGATTCCTCTAGAGGTTTGAGCATTACAATTTCCCTGAAGTCTTTGGGGATTTTCGCTATCAGTGTCAGAAGTTTTATACTCTGAAGTAGTACATAGATCTGAGTATACTCTGTATGATTTTTTTAAAAGGTCTTTAGACCTTCCCAGATTTATAATCCTGATTGTCTCTCAGGAATTTGTGATGTTTTCTACTCTTAATAGTAGTCTGATATTTGCCTCTGGGACTCAAATCTGCAGATGATGTCCATAAATTATCTGGAGCAGACATTAGCCGCCTCCTCCCATTCTTGTAGCAAAGAGGGATCGTCCATCTGAGTGTTAGGAGCAACTTGGACTCAAAGACCTCTAGGGATCATAGATTTATTTAAATAGTTCTGTAATGAGGAAACCTCACAACCCAAGCAAATTTGTTGTTTACACAAATTAGATAGTGAACAAAATTTGTTGTTTAAATTCTCTGGTTCAGTCGATTGTACTGTGTCTTTATCTTTGAAAACTGACTCAGCATCCATGTATCACTGACTTGAGTCTTTTAGTTGTGAAAGGATATTGGCCCTATTTATATTTGAAAGGTTTAAATGATTGGAATACAGGATAGATACGCACACCTACGGTATTGAAACCTATAAACTTAAATTGGAAGAAACAGTGTCCCAAGAAGGGACTATTGGTGTGCACAAGTGAACCTAAAAAAGGGGTAATCGTTACAAGTAAGGGTTACCCCCTTTTTAGGTTCACTTGTGCACACCAATAGTCCCTTCTTGGGACACTTTGTTTCTTCTACATAAAAGGTGTTAAACTGGATATTTGCAGCTTCTGCTTGTGTCTTGCAGGAAGTTGCTAAAAATTCCCTTGCTTGTATACCTGTCCTGTTAATTTAATAATTCTCAACAGTTGATTTTTCGATTTCTTTAGATTTGTAAGTCAGGAACATTTCTTAAACAAACTGAATCGGTGGCTCAGATAGCTACACTACAATTCCAACATCAATGCTTTGGAGTTTTTTGCTAACTGCACCAAATCCTTTTAGGATAGTTCCCCACAAACCACTCATAAGGCATTGTAGGAGACAAAAGAATGAGCAGGCTTCAGTGCAACTTTCAGCAACATGTTTCCCTACTAGATTTAAAGAATGTGAAGAGCATGGAATTTAAACAGAAAATGGGTTTCTTTTCAGAATTATGGCTTGCAATCTTCTGTAATGACCAGACATATTGCTTGTATTATCATATGATTGACCATGGCAGTTAGTAATATCAAGGTCATATGACTTAAGAGTGTTGAGAACCACTTCAGCCAGTTGTTCTGATTTATGTCCAGGAGTTGGACTGAAACGTATAAAACGTTCAATCGGTAAACCATCATCCTTGTCATACCTTAAGATGAAATCCCAGCTAATCAGTGTTGGCGCTATCGGGTATTGAATCAACACTGGTAGAGTAATAATTCACAGCCTTTGCCTCCTTAACGATTTGATTTGTAACAGTATCAGTCATAATCTGAATGAACTGTTCACGGGTAGCAAACGAGAGGTAGATATGATTCCTTTTTCTGCATTGCCATAATGGGCAATGTGTTCAGCTATAAATAGGTCAAATTCCAAAACATTATCCTGTATTTTCCATTCTGTATGTGGAATCAAAATCTTTTTATCTGAGGGAGGGGAAAGTGCTCAAGTGCCTTAACAGGAGTGACAACTCTTTTTAACACATTTCTCCAATATTGGATGTCATGTGAACGCTGTTTTTTTTAAGACTTTTTTTTTAAGTCAGTTCTCCCCAATAGCCATGCTCTTGATTTTAAAGAGAGCATGCAGGATTTGTGTTCAGTTGAACGCTCGTGTTTATTTAATAAAGTGTGTGTTTCCACTCATTGAAGCCACTCTCTGCTAACTGGGATTTGCCACCAAACAAATGTTATGGAGCACAAAACGCTATTCTCTTGCTTTTGGAGTAAACCCAATGGCTCCTTTTTAGTTTCTCTCCATTAACATTTTCTTTTTCAAACAGCTGTTCAGTTAGCATCCTAGAACTGTCAGCATTATAGCCTTGTAGACTGTGAAGAGCAGATTCTCATTTTAATTATTCCATGTTTAGCCACATGGTCTTGGGTACAGTCATTTAATACCAGTCAGCAGGGTCAGAGCTCACTCCTATTGGTTCTACAGGATCATCAAATTCTCTTGAACGTGAAGGTCCTCCACCGGATTCAGAAGCATCATTTTCACTGACAATACTACTGGTAACTTCTGAAATGTTATAACTGCATGTAGCAGATACATCATTTTCACAAATGTCAGCAGTTAAATCTTCAACCACCTCCTCACCCTGCTCAGTATTTGAAGAAGGCTTGGGTATGGTAAAAATAAATACAATTTTCCTGTCTGTTCAATCTCCCTGGCTTGTTTTACATATTTTTTGCATTTTATTCTTCTCCACTTAGCCTTTTTATGCCCATCACACATGGCTGGTAAAGATAATACCAATGCTGTAAAATACTGTAACACAATTTGATTTTTAAAACAGGTGCTTTATCCACATTTTATGTATGGCTACTTACATACTTGACTGTTAACACTTACCTTATTGATAGACAAGTTTTGTCCATATTAATATGCTACACTCTAGAACAGTATCAAGTATGCCAGATAAATGCCAGACCAATGTATGTACAGCAGGAAACAGTCAAGTAGAAATCAGACTGTCCGTTGTGTCAAAGATTAGAAAGCAAGCCACTATTACTTGTTTTTGTGTGACTTTTTCTGGTTTATCTATTTACACATACATCTTATGATGCATTCTTAAGCACCCCACATATAGAAAAGTAGAATGGTCCAGGCATTTGGAGCACTTACAGCTTTATAGCCATTTTATTAACTTAGTGAGTTTCTGTGGTGTATAGCTCTTTAAAGTTATAATGTTTGTTAGATTTAGACTTTTCCTCCTTATGGGGCTTAAAATTTCAGTGCTTGGAGGGTCCATGGCACACTCACCATGGGTAAATTCCTACTCGATGGTTAAATCTTCACCTGGCAGTTGCTAGGGAAAAGTAGAAATTTTAACCCTTGTGGACTTAATGAACTCTTTTCAGAGCTATTATATCCAGCCTTTGCAGCTTATAATATGAGACTCCTCCAGAAAGTGTCAAATAGGGCCAAAACACACAAGACGTATCAAAGGTCAAATTTTAATGGAAGCAAGCCACCATGACAACATTCCAGCCACCAACTATGGCCTTTGTCAAGTCTTATGTGTTGGATGTTTACAGTAGTGAAACAAAAATGGTCTGTGAATTTAACCGAAATAAAAGTTGTGAAAAACCACAAGATTAAATAAGTTTTATGGTAAAATGGTTAAGTAAAAAGTGTCAAAATGCTTTTTGTTTAAAAATCTGGGGGATGTACTCTCTACAACTATATACTTTTGTGTATTGGTGTTAGATTTTGTGACTACTATACATCTCAGCAAGCCAAATTTGCAATGTTTTAGCTTTAAAAAATTATTTTACTCCTTGCAAAATCTTAGACATAGTGGGCATTTTAACAATCAGGAAAATAAAACGAATAAGGTGTGGGCGCCACAAGCCCCAATATAGCGGTGAGTAGAGTATAAATATAAATTATTTGCAAGGCAAAATAACTTGGAAAATTCTCCCTCCTGGAACTCTCTGCAGTGCGTGGTTAAACAGGGCCCTGGATTAGGGCACCTGTTCAACCTTGCACTGCAGAGATTTCCAAGAGGAAGGGTTTCCTAAATTAAGTGGATTAATCCTATAAGAGCAGGCATTAGGTTGCTAGGATAGGACCTGCCAAGAATAAGGTACATTGGTGTTGTGGCAGGATTATGCAATGTATGGTCATATACTGTAACTAAACCCCCATTGTTTTTGACTAGATTAGGTGTTTTTTTTTTAACAATTACATTTAATGAGCTTTCAAATTGCTGTTTAATGAAGGAGTGCACTGGATCTTATATGAATTGGTCCCAACAGCACCGTTCTAATGTATGCATGTACAGGGGGTGAGTGCAGCCTTCTTCGGTTTGTATATTTTACATTGGATCAAATATTATGTTTTTAACATATATATGTAAATTAATATTTTGATTTTTTTTTTTCTGTATTAAATGTATTTGTAGCTATCCTCTATTCATTGCTATATTTGGGCTTATTTGCTTTTTATCATTAATAAATGTTTTTGTGCAAAAAATTGTACAAATGGATCAAATTTACTGCACAGGAAAAAGAAAGCAATAGATTAGCATTAGCCCAGTTAAAGGGCACCCTCATGTGTATTACGGAGCCTTTCAGTAGCTCCTTGTATAAATAGTTTTACGCACACTTTATACATAAGCTACATTTTGTTATTTCTCTTTGATTATTTTCAGCGATCTTGAATATTATGTATACAAATATTCACTGTGTTTCATATGAATGATCACCTTTTGGTGTTGTTAAGAATATATATACACACACACACACACATATATATATATATATATATATATATATATATATATATATATATATATATATAATTTCTTTTATTTATTTAAGCACATACTGTAATGCTTGTTACTGTGTGCCCACACCTTACTCTGTGTTGTTTATATGTATTTGTGAGTATTTTGGTGGTTACCTGTCATTGGTTTATTACGTTTTTAAGCGCCACACTTTCACTAATGTATGTATATATTTTAACAATCAGGACTAGTAGGTGAATCAATTTTAAATTGGGTACAAATTATTAAAAGTACAATTGAGATTGTTTATATAAATATATATATGTATTTTTTTTTTCTATTAGCCATATTTCTTCTTTAATGCAATATGTGGGGGTGCATTTAAACAGGCTGAAATTGTGGTACAATGAACGCATGGCAAAAGTTCCAAAAAGACCTTGATTATAAGCTTGTTACATCTCAAAAAGCCTTGGTCTTTAAGGGCTTATGGGCATCCCATGTTTTTTGAGTGTTTAATTTTTATTCTGTTTTAGCTGTTCCGATTTGTTTCCTATTTACTTTTAGCCAGCATACAGATTATACAAAAATAATCTGTTAAGTATAAAAAACATTTTTTTATACAGGTTTTTAGGTGATGACCACTATTAAAATTTCAGATGTTTTACTTGACTTTATTTGTAATGCCTTGTTGGCTACACAATGTATATTATGCTAGAATAAAAAGATTTGATCTACTGAATAAAAAGACTAAATTAATAACTGTTTATATAGTGTAAAGCATTCTTTTTGCTATATTTTATTTGGACCCACATTTGTAAATAATCCTTAATTGCTTAAAATTACTCCGTCTCTCCCCCCAAATGCCCCTAGGCCTTCCATATCACCTTTTTTTAAATCTTAATTTTGTGCCCGGACCTAGGTCCTGGGCGCTGCCATCTTTGTGTGGGCAGATGAATTCCCTGTGGGACACGTCATCTGCCCACACTAGATAGCGCTATTAAATTCCTGCGCGTGCCCAGTTAAACATTTGCGCATTCGCTATTGTCCGAAATTCGAATCTCCCGAATGTCGCTATTCGCTATGCTGCTTGTAGGAGCATGTCTACTAAACAGTGAGCAGCCACTGTTGTAACCCCCCCCCCCCCTCCAACAAATGGCCCCATCATGGGACATCTATTAAGTATCACATTTTTTGGGGGGGGCATATTTTATTTTGCGCTCTGGTTTTTTATTTTATTTTATAAGTTCAATGGGTATTATGGATTTTTATTTGGCCTTTTCTCGGGCTGACATCAAATGGTATTTTTTCTTTTTTTTTACGGGTATTTAGTTTTATTGTCTCCCTCCTCACTAATTTTAGGCTGAGGGGGGTAGGTAGGGCTTTATTTATTTTATTTGGGTGGGGGTGACTAGGGGCTTGGGGACCCCTAGTCACCTGGGAGGGGTATTTTTACATTTAGTTCCCACCCGTCGCCCATGGGTGGGGGCAGGAGGGGAGGACAATAAGTCCCCCCATTGTCATTTAGGGCCCTCACCTGCTGCACATGGGTGTGGGCTGGGGGGAGGACAATAGGTCCCCCCCCACTTTAATTTAGGGCCCCCACCCGCCACTCATGGGTAAGGGCCAAGGGGGACCCTATGTCTCCCATTTAGTTGAATAGCCCACACTCGCCACAGGCTGCTCACTGTTTACTAGACATGCCCCTACTCGCGATATAGAGAGTTGGGGCAGATTAATTACTATTACTAAGTAATCATTACTTAGTATTAGTAAAGTTGGCTGAAAGACCAATCTTGGTCTTTTAGTAGATAGCTCCCCTAATACTGTGGGAATTAGGGAACTATCTACTAAGCGGCTGCAAGATGCAGTTGCAGCACGAATCCGAATTTCATTCATTCAAATAAAATTTCGAACTGACCTAAAAGTACTGAATGTCGTCCGAATATGAATGAACAAACTGTAATAATTTTGTTAGGACGAAATTCAGTAGTTTCGCTGGCGTTCTGTCTAAATAATAGGACGTTCGGGAATAGTGAAAGCAGGCATCACAAGATCACAGAGGAAAGAGTGGGTATTGTGCGAAAATTTCTCTGACCAACTTGAGCTGATCAGGTGTAGGAAATATACATAAGACAACGTAGTCCCTTCTTTGTCTTATGTTTTAAAGAAAACTAGAGAGAGGAAGAGAAGAGGAATCGATTAGGTAAAGGTAAGTTCGGCATGACAATGCTGCTGTAAGACTGATTCTACGATATATACATTTTTGGGAGGAATGTAGTGAGGGGTGGCAGGGGAAGGTAATTTTAAAGAGATTGTTTTTTTAATTTGTTTCCTGTGTGTGTGTGTGTATATATATATATATATATATATATATATATATATATCTCAAATCTTCAATGTATTCACATGAAAGCCGTTCTGGAAAATTCTCCAACACTGCAATAGTCACAACTTTTTTCCTCAGTTGTAACATTCAGATTTAATTTGTGAAAATTCTGAGTTTAATGAAACACTCTGAATTTTGCACCTTTTGTGCCAAATTGAAAACATAACTGGCTTAAGATTTTTTACAGTTTGAATTATCACTTTTGTAAATGATCCTGTATATCCATCTGCAGCATCACTTCATTGGAATAGTTTGACCTTTCTGTTCTATGAGCTATGTGCCAGAAAGATTGCTGTGAGACAAAACACAATAAATCCCTCCACAGTGCAAATAGAGAAATTACTTTTGTGCATCACCTGCATATCTCAAGTTGGACTTTTAAAAGTCACCGAAAACACAAACTGGCAAAATCATGTTTACACAGTTATCCCAGAGTTCCTAGCATGACATGCAAATGAGCACAGACATTTGTTGTTTTTTAGACTTAACCTGTAGCAATGAATACTGTTTTAAACACAGCTTTATTTTAAAGTAAAGCATAGGTTGTAATCTAAAAGGACTAGTGACCAGAAACCAGACATGCACCTGACAGTTTTGACCTTCTAGAGTCTTATTGGCATGGCACCAGTTCTGGTCTGGAAGTTGAAGTCTGTCTGAGAGTGTATAATTAGGTGCCAAAAGGATTGTGGTGAGACCACAATGCAAATAGAGAATTTACTGCTGTGCATAACCTGCATATCTCACAGAAACTCAATAAATCACGTCTGCATAACTATTCCAGAGTTCCCAGCTTTACATGCAAATGAGCAGCCAGTGTTTCTAGAACATGTGCTTGTGATATTATTAGACAATATAGAAGAAAGATGAACACGGTCGCTTTCTTACTGAATACAAATATCATATGTATATCCCAAGAACCCCTTTGTTTCTAGTTAATTTATGCGTGTTGGTATTAGTGTAAAGCTCTATAAACGTGTGAATGTTCCTGCTCACTCTTTATTAGCTAAAGAGGGAATCAAATCATAGATCTCATATCATAGAGGTGATGTGGACGACAAGTATTTATTTTAAAATTTGTGCTGCGAGCAGTAAGCTAAGGCAATGTCTTAATGATATTTGCCGATGTGAGGGAATAATGAATTGTCCAATGTATGCAAAAGTTTTGCTTTAGCTGTTTTCTGTCCCATGAATTTTGGGGAATGTTATTTAGTAGTTTGTGGATGATTTGTATATCGGAACAAGGTGTGATAAAGTGAAGGCAGATAGGCTTATAACAGTTAACCCCAGGGGGTTATAGGCAACACAAACCAAAGTTTAGTTATGGACCACTGGGGTGGAGCATTTAGAGAGCAGGGTGGGCCAATGCTCAACTTCGCAGTTTGCATACAACTTGGAGAAAAAAGTTCCAGGCCAGAGTTTTGATCTGTCTCCAACCCACTCCTCAGTGCAGATAATCAGCTGCAGCAGTGAGAATAAATCCCTCCCTGCTAGGCAGGTAAAGGGGGATTGCTGGCTTCCTCCCTGAACGCAGGAAGGAGAGATGCTGTTCTCTCCTGTGAGAGAGTCAAGGAGACTGAGCACTGGGTGTGCAGAAGGAAAGCAGTTAAGGCTGGCTTGGAGCACTGGGTGTGCAGAAGGAAAACAGTTAAGGCTGCCTTGGAGCACTGGGAGTACAGAAAGGAGAGATAATTTTGTTTCTTTCTAGAAGGAATGGAAGCCACATGCTGAGTGTGGAGTGCAGAGATCTGACAAAGGCACTAGGTTGGTGAAACCAATTATTGTTCTGTTATAGTTTAAACCCTTGAGAAATAGGGAACTTGATGTTAGTAAGTGCTCAGACTGAGCTAGGTTTTTGTTTATAGGGATTTGTGTTACTGTTTATTTTTTCATTTGCTGCTGTATCTGTGGTGGAGTTTAACAATAAAGTGTTAAGTTGCCTTAAAAGACTGCATGTTTGTGCCCAAGAGGACTGTGCTACCTGCAGACAAGGATCAAGGAAAAAAGTTAGTAAAGAGACCTGCAAAACTAAAAGAAAAAGCGGAATTGTCAAGAGACAGTGATGGTGACACTGATGACATGCAACAAAGTAAAAAAGGTCAGAAGAATCAGAAGGGAGAGCAAGACAAACTGATTAGTGAAGTTGACAAGTGTTTATTTGAGAATCAAAACATTGCAGCTTCACGTGAAAGCCTCAAACTTGCTCTGAGTAGCATCACAACAGATAAAGAGGTCTTAGAAAAAGAGTCAGAAACAAAAATATTTTTACACTCAGAAACTGAATCTTGCATGTTTCAAGAGAATGCTGGAAAGACATTAGAAAACAGAAAGATACTGATAAATCTTCCCAAGGCAACAAAAGGAGAAATAAAGACTGTGACTGCGGCCAGCAGTGTCAAGCCGGTTTGTGCTATATAAAATGAGACAAGTAAA